TACAGGCATGTGGTACCACGCCCGGGTGATTTTTTGATTTATTGTAGAGATGAGGTCTCGCTGCCCAGTCGGGTCTCGAACATGCGGGCTCAGGCAATCCACTCACCTCAGCCTCCCAAAGGCGCGGGATTACAGGCTGAGCCACAGAACCCCTCATTTCTGTACTTTCCATGGCCCAGACTTTCCAGGCCATCTGCTCCTTCCCCATTCAGCAGTGTGTTTGTGAGGAACGAATGCCATCCCTGGTTCCACTGGTGAGAGTTGATGAGTCTAAGCCAGTGGTTCTCAATCAGGGGTGATTATGCTCACCCAGGGGACATTTGGCAATGTCTGGAGACAATGCTGGTTGCCATAGCTGGAGGATGGGTGTTACTTGCAACTAGCACACAGAGGCTGGAGTGCTCTAATATGTAGGACAGTCCCCATAACAAAGAATTATCCAACCCCAAATAATAGTTTAGAGATTGAGGAATCTTGATTTAACAATCAGAAAATTCCTAATGGACTGCCACAGTGATTGGTTCACAACTGAGCCCATGAGCTAATTTGAGGGGAGGGAAATATGTGCTGAAGAGGTTCCTGACTCCCCTAATCCTAGCACTTTCTGAGGCCGAGGGGGGAGGATGGCTTAAGGCCAGGGGTTCAAGACAAAATACATCCACTTCCTCCTGGTCTCCCCCCCCAAAAAAAACTTATCAAGCACCCTTTTTTTTCTAAGACAGACACGTTACATCAGGGTACTTTGCCTAAATGGGCCCCTTTCTACGGGGAGATAACTCATGCTTCAGAACCGGAATCATCTGGGGTGGGTCTGTGACCTACCTGGGGTGGGTCTGTGTGGGGCCGCTTGGACAGCTCTGAGCCGGTTCTGAGGCCCCTGGTCCTTCACTGTCCCCACCCTCTCGGCAGTCTTGCTGTGGCAGAAGGCAGTCAGAGACCCGAGCAGACAGCTCGGAAGAAATGAAACTACGTCGGTCCTGACTTCCAGGAAATCAGACTGTAGTCTCCACCCCTAACCCCCTACCTCCGGGTCTCCTATCGCCTCCCAGGAACGGGGCCACAGCTCCTCCGCCCCGCTGTGCGCCCGGACCGCGCGCGCCCCCTGACTGCCCCAGGCTCGCCCTCGACCCTCCCTCCCGACCTCCCCTCCCCCGATCCAATGCCCCGGGATGGGCTTCCAATCTGTCCGGTTCACAGTCCCAGAATGACCTCTCCTCCTGCCTCTCTCCGACTGCCCTCTGCCCAGGGGGGTAAGTCTGCGAACGCCAGAGCCCCGAGAAGGTCCCCTGCGCCTCCGTCCCTCGGGTGTCCCCAACTCTGCGTTCCCGCTGGCCGTGCCGGACCCCACACGTGGTTGGCAGCGACAGGGCGGTCCCGCTTCCTTCCGAAGTGAAACCCCGGCCACCACCGCTGCACCTGAGCATCGACCCTCCCTGTTAGACGGTTGTTTCTGGTCTGAGCTCTCCGGAGGCCACCACCCCAGGTCTGGCACACTTCCCCTCCAGGCTTTCTTTAGGGCTCCTGCTGCCAACCGTCAAAGTCCCAGAACCCCCTTATGGGCAGCTCAGAGCCAAGGCCGCTTTCTTTCCTCCTGGCATGCCCCTCCTGCCCCTTTCAGCTTCACCCCAACCTTCCCAAAATTCGCTCAGTAACTATTTAAGTACTCACTTGTGGCAGCTGGTGCTAGGTCTTCTGCTTAGGGATTGAGAAAAGCGTAAGGCCTCAGGAAACTATTATCAGCAGGACACAGAGTGGGAAAGACTGGAGGTTGATCAAAAAGCTGTGGAAGCTGGAGAGGAGGTTCTTGTGTCTGCTTCTCTGTGCTGGATAATGTTGGGGGTGAGGAGGGAGGAGGGGGCAGGGAGAAGAGGCGGAGGAGGGCGGAGAGGAAAGAGACACACCTACTTGGGGGGAAAAAAGTCACTTCCTTCTCTAAGGCTATTGCAAAATTTTCTGTTTGGGGTGAGTCATGCTTTATTAAAGTTATTTGCAGTCGGACTCGGTGGCTCAGCCTGTAATCCCGCACCTTTGGGAGGCTGAGGTGAGTGGATTGCCTGAGCCGGCGGGTTCAAGACCCTCCTGGGCAACTTGGTGAGACCTCATCTCTACAATAAATCAAAAATTTGCCGGGCGTGGTAGTGCGTGCCTGTAGTTCCAGCTACTTGGAAGGCTGAGGCGGAGGGATCGCCGGAGCCCAGCAGGTCCAGGCGGCGGTGGCTGGGAGCGGCCACTGCACTCCAGTCTGGGCGACAGAGTGAGACTCCAACTCAAAAAAAAAAAGGTACAGTTGAGCCGGGCTCAGTGGCTCAGCCTGTAATCCCACGTCTTGGGAGGCTGAGGTGAGCGAATTGCCTGAGCCCATGGGTTCGAGACCTGCCTGGGCAACTTGGCGAGATCTCATCTCTACAATAAGTCAAAAATTAGCCGGGCATGGTAGCACGTGCCTGTAGTTCCA